CGCCCCCACCGCGCCCCGCGACTGCCACCCCCTCCGGGCCCTCCCGGGAGCTGCAGGGAGCGGGAAAAGTTAGGTGACCTTGGGGGAGGGGCCAGCCTGCCCCGAGACCCCTCGGGGGCCCGGCCGAGCAGTGGGGGATCAGATGCCCGCAGCCCCTCCACCGGTTCTAAATCATTTGGGGGAGACTCTGAGCTCCTCTTGCCCGGCAAAATAAATAAATAAATAAATAAATAAAGTGGGGTCGATGACTAGGAAGGGAGACTTTGTCCTGGGTGCTTTGAAGAGTGCAGAATTTTGAGCAGCTTTCTTAATTTTTAAAAGAAGAAACGACTGCCGTCATTGAGTTGGGCGGGGTTGGATTTGCTTGTCTTTTGTGGTGGGGCAGTGGGATCTGGCTCCCGGTCCCACAGCACCCGGGGTTACTGAAGTCACCTTTTTTTATGTGGAAAAGAGAAGCTGCTACAGAGTGTACGCCGGGCTCCCCTGGGCCCTGCCCACTGCTGCCTACAGAGAAAACCCACGGAGGCTTCCTCCCTCGGCGTGCGCTCTGGCACCCTAGCCACCCCAGTTCAAGGACAGGGTGCTTTGTTAATAGATACTGACGGAGAGATGCATTGTGGGCACTCTACATTTAATCTTCTCTTGTCCCTTTGAGCCATGTCCTGTTTATACAACTGATGTACCGTCGAGAAAATTGAGCGAGAAAATTGAGGCACAGCAAGCACCAGTGGTGGTCCAGGAGTGAATGGCTGGGCAGGGATGGGGATGGGTAACCAGGCCCTACCTTCCTCCTCTTCCACTCTGAACTTTGCTACCCTGAGCTTGAATCTTACCATAAGGTAGTGTGAACTGGAGAAATCAAAGAAAATGGCCCAAGCAGAACCAAAATGATGGCTAATAGCCCAGACTGCTCGGAGTGGGGAATCCGGGTCACTGTCATCCAGCTACTAAAGAAGGAAACCCGTTTCATGTGTTCTATGACATACCCAGAGAAGGCAGGGCCCGATGCCTAAGGTTATGAGTATAGGAATCTCCGCTCCTATCGCTTGTTCTGCAACCATTCTGAGCATGTACGGGGCTGGCCACTGTGGGAGGCGACAAAGGAACAGGCCTTCTCCTCAGGGTGCTTGAAGTCTAGCTAGGCAAATAGCCCTAAAGAAGTCACTCCACATGGCTACCTGGGGGCACAGACTGATCAAAAAGGGGTTCAGGAATTGAAAGCGAGTGTGTCGCAGTTAACCTCAGGGGACATCCATCACAGGAAGCATTTCCCCAGCACCGAGCATCTATGTGAAACCAGTCTACATTTATCATCATTTAAGTTCCACATCTCCCCCTGCCTCCCCCCGACGAGTGGGTCTTCCCATTTCATAGATGGGAAAATTGAGCTCTGAGATGTTTTTCTCTTGCCCAAGGTCCTCAGGACACAGCCAGGGGAGTCCCACTCCAGAGCAGCCTGCTGTGTCTAGCCCTCACTGCTGCGTTGGCATGCATTCCACAAATGCTTTACTCAGCAAGGCCCAGTGCCGGCGCTGAGGACACAGGCCACAGTCTGGAGAGCGTGACTGGCACGCCCACCTGCAATCATGGATGTGTGTCCCGAAAGACGCCTTAAGAGAGATGGGCTACTGCTTTATGGAGAGGAGGGCTGTGAAAAGAGATGAGTTTTCCCAACCTTTGTTCCTCCTTTATAATCAAGGGCAAAGACAGTATGGCACAGTGGTTCTTAATCAGGAGTGACACTTGGCATTGTCTGGAGACACTTTGGGTTGTCATAGTAGGGTAAGTCCTACTAGCATCTAATGGAGAGAGGCTAGGGATGCTGCAAAACATCCAGCAATGCACAACAACGAATGATCCAGCCCCAAATGTCACCAGTGCCTAAGTGGAGAGACCCTGGCCTGGTGTCCTGGAAAGGCCATTGGCACGAGGAATTTCAGAGTATAGATTCTAGGCCTGGCTCCACCACTCATTGGCAAACCTTGGTTATGTCGCTCTCAGCCTCTATTTTCTCACCTATAAAGTGGGATTAAGAAGATCTTCCTCTCTCTTCCCCGTACAAATGTGACATATCATCAGTTTTACTATCCTCACCCTTCCCAAGCGAGGGCTGACTCCAGCTCATCCTCTCCAACCGGAAACACTAGAAAGTCCCCCGTAGGAAGGGTGCAGAGAGGAGACTGGGTAGCATAGCTGGCAGGGCTAGTATTTGTTTCGTCTGTTAGAAACACTAAGTGAGTGCTTGTAAATTATAAGGTGCAGTTTATAAATTAAGATATAAAAATGGAAATGCAGATTACTTTGGTTTGGTTCCAAGATCTTCAGCTGTTAAAAAAAAAAAAAAACTTAATAGACAATCAGAGAAACACAATCTGTTTCCAGGAAATAGCAAGAGTTTTTCAAAATGTAAGGATCCTTGTTCAGATGTGCACTTACTCAAGCTGTCTCCATGACACCAGCACACATTCATACCCATAGGGGGTGAAATGGTGTAGGCTGGAATGGCAGGTGTAGGCAGATCAAAGCATTCATTGTTCATTCATTCCCTTTCTCATTCAACCACCTGTCAGTTCATTCGGTCAGTCAATACTAATTAAGGTTCTGCTAGGTGCTGGGTTGGATTTAGCCTTGAAGTCAAATGAAATGTCAAGAATGGCTCCCATGTTTTAGCTTAAGCCAGTGGGTAGATGGAGGCACCATTTCTTCAGATGAGAAAGCCTAGAAGAGGAGAAGGTTTGGCTGGGAGAGAGGTATCAAGAGTTTAGTATTAGAGATGTTGACTCTGAAATGTCCAGGAGACATCCATGTAGAGCTGAGTCGGCAGCTAGATGTCCAGCGGGGATGGTAAGGAGGAAATGAGGGGCGGGGGTGAGATGGGAAATCTTCACATCCTAAATGAAACGGTGATTCTCCCTCAGTAAGCCCTCAGTGTAATCTTGGTTGATTGCATGAATAAATGAAAGAATGAATGAATGAACGACATTTTGAACATACAGACATTACAGGGAAAATATTTCTCAGGTACTATCAGCAAGGAACAACAGAAATCTTACAGAAGGGGGTGAATCTAGGAACACTGCAGTTGGGGATTTATTTTTAGACCAAAAATAATCTTCAAACAATAAACCAAACTGTAAGTCTCATAAGAATCTCAGAGACTTCATCATGCTCCCAACCCCCCTTCCCTATTTTCCAACTAAACTCCACTCCCACCAGAACTATAAGCTTTGGAAAGCCTTCACTAACATCTAACAGCTCTGGCTCTGATGCTCACACTAACAACGGAAGGAAAAGTCTTCATCCAAACCTCAAAGGCACTGGGCTTGAATGGCTACAAATTAGATTCCCTGGGGCAAAACAAAACAAAACAAAAATAAAACAGTCTTGTCCATTTTTTTTTATCAGAGACTTTGCCAATCCCTCTTTGACCACATCGCCCCAATGCACCACTCTGGCGGTTGGCTGCTGGTCAAATGTAGCTGCCACTTTCTGGCTTCCCATCATTTCTTTTCTTCGTAAACTCAATGGGTGTCACAAGTCTGGAACTCGCTCTGAACTTGCCCCAGCCTGGCCTCTTGATTTTCCGCATTGTTCTTGGAGGGCTGCCTGTGGCCATCTCATGCAGTTTCCTAAATCAGATAAAAGACCCTCAAGACTCTGGCCATGGCTTCTGGTGACCTTTGCCACCTCCCACGTGCCGCCAGTGTAATGGGCACCTGTGGGGTATTTGTCACCCGACCACAGCTGTACCCTCTCATGACAGCAGGACACAGTTTTGCTTTGGAGGGAATGACTCCTTCTTAACATTCAATCCATGTTGCTCATTTGATGAATGCTTCCATCTTCCATGGAATATGTCATCTAGACTAAAGCATTCCAGAACATTCCATTCTCCCAGCCACAGTGACTAGTTTAATGGTGAACACATCACTCGACTGGAGCAATCCAGAGAAGGGTGAATTCCCTCTCTGCTTCAGCTGGAACATCCATCTTCTCCCACCCTCAGACGTTGGTGCTCCTGTTTTTCAGGCTTTTAGACTCAAATCGGGACTTACACCATCACACTGCACTCCACCAACCTCCTGATTCTTAGGCCTTTGGACTAAGCAGAATTACACTACTGGTTTTCCTGGGTCTCCAGCTTACGGATGGCAAATTATGGGACATGGGACTTCTCAGCCTCCAGAACTATGTCAGCTAATTTCGTGAGTGTGTGTGTGTGTGTGTGTGTGTGTGTGTGTGTGTGTGTGTAAAATCATTGGTTCTGTTTCTCTGGAGAACTCTGACTAATACATCACTTTATCTTTATAAGACAGAATGCCTTTAGCCATGTTCCTACTTCTAGGAGCCCAATCTTTTAGTTGGGTTGAGTTGATTAAAAATACATTTATAAGTCACAGACACTGGGTCTGAGTAAAGTCAATCCCCTAAGACAAGGACAGTTTTCAAATAACAAACTTTCATGGTTTCACATTTATGAGTCAATATAATAATTTTATGGGAAATCTCTTTGCTCTTCTTAGCAAACAGACTTAGAAATTCTGCTTTAGGAGAACAAGTTACACA